GTACTTATAACCTACTTAGGGTTTAGGGTTTAGGGTTTAGGGTACCCAATTATATATAGGGTAACTGTAGTTATGGGGCTTATAATGATGTCATAACTACAGTTACTAAGTAGGTTATAGGTACAATGGACCTCCAAGTGGTCGCACCAAGTAAGATCATGTGGGAGAGTCTCAAGGTATCCGTTGGACCCTCGTGCTTAGGGATCATCAAGAGTACTTGTGGTATATGTATATATACATAGAATATATATATATACAGATAGAGAGAGAGAGAGAGAGAGAGACAGAGAGAGGTTTATTTTGGGAAGCAGCCACATTCTTTTCTTGAACTACTATGGCCAAGCGGAGAATACAATCTCAGCTCATGTAAGCGACATCTAGGGGACTGCGGTATCTAAGGTCATAACAACGGCCTGAACCCTGGAATCCGTATACCTACTATACCCTATATGTACCCTTAATGGTCCTTAGAACCCCCAAAAGCAACCTTAGACAGAATCCCCTACCCACCTGAGACGCCTCATAGAGTGCCGACTTGGTTGCGTGTCGGCGCTTTGCCTGGGTAGTTAGGGCTTGAAGTTTAGGAACCTAAAGAACCCCAAAAAGAGGATTCGGGTCTGTTGTCCACGTGTTGAGAGTTCCGGGCTTCCATGCTAAGAAGCTGAAGTATGATTTTGCGAAGATGCATCTATTATTGTATTGGCTATTATACTATTACTATTTCTGTTACTATTGCTAGTACTATTACTATTGCTATTACTCTTACTACTACTACTACTATTACCAGTTCTATTACTATTACTAGTACGAATACGAGTACTAGTACTAGTACTATTATTATCCTTCATAAAAGGTCTACAACCCAAATTTAGAGCCCATAGTTTGGACCCAGGAAGCAGGTAAGGGCCCATATCAGGACCCATAGTTAGGAACTGAGAGAGTGCAGGCGCTGTTGGTGATCAGTCTTATGGCCTCGTAAACTTCTAGTATCCCCCTTACTAAGCCCTTCAAAACTCCCCCATGTAATTGCCTATATAACTCCCTTTTTGCCATGCACGTCAAATCTTGCATGTGCTGTTTCTCCAAATGGAAACCCTATTTCCACTCTTACCAACCTTCTCGGAGACCTACTGCAATCCCTTAGGGTTTAGGTTTGGGGTGACCCTGCACTCTGAATATCATCTTTCGTATGGACCCGTATAACCCTCACATATCCCTAGGGCCCCTTTGCTAGAGAAACCCCCCATGTCAACTTACAGCAACCAAGCTGCCTGACAGTCGATGTCATACTCGAAGGTGCGATTAATGTCTGCATTTGCCAGAAGCAGGCCTTGGAAAGGAAGCCTACACTCCTGTACAGTAAATAAGTACCAACATTCGATAGGGTGATATAGGGTGATTTAGGGTTATATAGTGTTATATAGGGTTCTAGTGGGATAATGGAAAAGAAAATGGAAACTACTAGATCATAATACCCCTAGATTACAGTGGCTGGAGGGCATCTTGCACCACTTCGGACCCCAGAAAGTATTATGAAGATTGGGAAATATCTAATATCAAGTGGCACAAGATTTTCTCCATCCACAGTACAGCCTGGGTTTAGGGTCTCATTAGGGGCAATTGGGGTGTAGGATTTGAAGTTGAAATTGGGAGCACCAGTTTTTTCGCTTTCAACTGAATCAAGAAGACACTCCCAATCTACACAACTGACATAGCAAGCATATTGTACTACCAGAGTACACTCTAAGGGATTTGGAACCCCAGTAAAAAGTACAATTTCAGCTAAATATTAGGATTCTAGGTAACAGAAATTAAAAATTATTTTCAGGAACCTTGTAGTACAGACACCACAAACGGCCTATCTCACTGAAAAATCGCATTTGTGGACTCAGGACTCCATCGACCTCAACTAGGTCCTGCTAGAAACCCGGCGATAATTCATAGCCCCCTATGTTGCCGTTCTAGAAACAGATACAGTTTAAGCGTTTTGTAAGGAATCCCCTTACAAATGGAACCTTGAGAAAGTTTGCATTCTGCTGTTGAGAGGCTGAAAGCTAGTTGCAGGTGCCCTTCGCGGGCTGCACCACAAAGTGCGCGGCTGATGTCGTTCTTTCCTGTCTCGTCCCGTATACAACGCTGGATAATCCCAGAAGGGGGGGAACCCAATATAGATCCCAAACACAATAGCCTATTTGGCTCCCTTCGTGGGTTTCGCCATGTTTGCCTACTTTGCAAACCCGCAAGCTCAAATATGAAAAGCCAGACAACAACAGCCTCCTTTTGTTGGTTTGGCGAGTCTCCCATCTCAGATAGCTCGACTGGAATATGCGTCAAGACAAGGACGAGATCCAGCTCCGTCACCGCGTCCAGATTGAAGGTGTCGTCCAAAACCTTAACTGTTCATGGAAATCCCCGCCAAGATCTTAAGTTCTATACTCCTGGTGGATATCCTAAAGTCCAAGCCTTCTCTCAGGAATATCTAAGAAACGGCATCGTCCAGCAGCAGCATCTGTATGAAGCTTGGCAGCCCGGAGACTTCTTCCAGATGCTTCTTCAAGCTGTCAACATTCCAAAGTGGCGTCTCTTCCAAGTTGATGGCTTGGATCTCCTTACTCATGCTTAGTTGTAAATGGGGAGGTGTAAGTTATACTGATTATCAATGGGAAGACAGGAAAGCTGCAGGGATCCAGTCCCCCTTGTAGTGGTCCTTATCCATGGGAAGAAATGAATACTATACGGATCCATGTCCCCCTATACACAGGGAGAGACAGGAATACTGTAACGATTCACTTCCCCTTCCCGTGCTAAGCCTGACTTGGTCTCAGCGCCCGAGAGCAGCCGCACTCTGATGGTCCGAGCAGGTCTCTGGACCAGCTGCTCCAATGCTGCCTCCGCCAGATCTGCTAGACGCTCCATGCCGCCGCGAGCAAAGTGAGGTTGGCTGAACGCTCCCAGGTAAGCATATTAGGAGCCTTTGTGATACCTATAGTAGGAGCTATGGGGCGAATACAGCCTGATCATGACTTGAATGTTCTCCTCCCAAGCCAAGATCTGGAAGCATCTATATCTTGGAGCTTCCAAGAAAGCTAGGCCCCCTAGTAAACTGCAGAGATATATATATATATATATGTATAACAAAACTGTAATTGCATTTGGCCTTATAGCAAGGTCTCAGACACACCTCAGGATGGACGGATGAAACTCTACCCGTGCACCGGGTGGACTGTCTCAAGAACCCTAAACCTTAAACCGCGTCAGATGTGGTTCCCAGATGGTTGCGTGGGGGTCTCAGTAGCTGCAGCGCATTATGCTGTAACTGCATGAGCAATACTACGACTCATGAGGACTTCTATGACCAACGGCTGTACGTTTGGCCGGTAAAATCTTTGACGTTGTGGAATTCTGTTACGTTCCAAACTTCTCCCTGAATTGAGGGTGCAAAGAAAACCTCGCAGAAAACCCTAAACCCAGAAACTCCGAGCCTCAAGCCCCCAGCTCCTAACCCCTGAACCCTGAACCTTAAAATCCAAACCCTCAACCTTAAAGCCTGAAGCCTTGCTCATAACCACTCTAAGATTTAGGGCCTAAATCCTAGAGTTTAGGGTTTAGGGATATAAGCCCTACCCCGTAGGATCTAGGATCGATCCCTGGTGGCTGCGAATTGGATTGCT